TTGTTTACTTGAATTTGGACAATCTCCCTGGCTACCCTATCTGCTTCATGAGGATGGGGACCATGTCCATTTCGCCCCTCATTGTGACCCAGCATTGAGCACATAGTCAGCCTCCCACAAATGCTCACGCCTGTAATCCTAGCACTTTGGGAGGCTGAAGTGGGAGGGTTGCTTGAGGCCAGGAGTTTGAGATCAGCCTGAGCAAGGGGCTACAAAAATATTTAAAAGTTAGGCAGGCATGGTGGTGCACACCTGTAGTCCCAGCTCCTCGGGGGGCTGAGGCAGGAGGATCATGTGAGCCCAGGAGTTTGAGGTTGCAGTGAGCTATGATTGTGCCACCGCGCTCTACCCAGGCGACAGAGCCAGACCATGTCTAAAAAAAATTTAAAAATGCGTATTGAAATACTGAATGATTGTGCTTGGCTCTCCCAGATGCCCTCTGCAGGTTCACTCCTTTAATCTCCATGGCAACCCTGGGAAGTAGGAATTGCCATCTCCATTTTACAAGAGAGGACTCTGAGACTCAGAGAGGGGCAGTCACCTACCCAGAAGAGTCACACGGCTGCTGAACAGTGTGGGTGGGTGGGGGTCACACCCCAGTCTGTTTGCAAGAGGGGGGGGTATCTTTTCTTTCCTGTGGGCAGAACACATGGCTTCCACAGGGACTCAGAATGCCACCTGGAGAGTATCACAGTTCCTTGTAAGCTTCCCTTTCAGTCTGATAGATTCAGGAACTCAAGGGATCAAAGTCCAGAAGCTCAGATGGAAAGAGAGAAAACTTCCTTAAAATACCCTCATCGAGTCACAGGCCCTAATTTAAGGCACTGAGGTAAATTATATATGATGGTACAAACAAGCTCTGTAAGTTGACAGCTATTTCCTCAAATTCTTCTCCTCCTTAAATAGCAAAATTACATAAAACAAATGTTCCCTGCTATTCTGGTAAATTACACTCTATATATATATGTATACAACAAATGGTGAGAAATTGTGAGCCAGCCTGGTTTGAAGCCTTCATATATTTAACATATGCCACTGCTATTTTCTTTTTCTTTCATATGACATTTTTTTCCCCCTTTCTGCAATCTTGGCTCATGCAGTTGATAAATACTTTTAGGAACCCAACTGATTCAAAATGTAGTTGGGCTCTCTGAGTACTGTGCAATTTCATGTCAAAGGTCCCTCTTTATCACTGTTTTAAAACAAACTTTAATAAACAAAGGTGCCCTAGATCCTAGTGCTTTGCCAGAGAAGAAATGCGAACAGATTCTCGCTTAAAACTGCAGGGAGCCCAGGCACCGTGGGTCATGCCTGTAGTCCCAGCTACTCTGGGGACTGAGGCAGGAGGACCCCTTGAGCCCAGGAGTTTTTGAGGCTGCAGTGAGCTATGATCATGCCACTGCACTCTAGCCTGGGTGACAGAGCCAGGTCCTGTCTAAAAAAAAAAAAATTGCAGGGAACTAAGTCATTTTCTTAAAGTCCCATTTTACAAGTGTCAATATACTCTACACTCAAGGTAGAGAGGTGATTTGGATGAGGCACGTTGGAGAGAAGCTAATATTTACTCAATACCCAGAGTTTTCCTGTTCAGCTAATCTTTTTTTTTTTTTTTTTTTCGAGACAGAGTCTCGCTTTGTTGCCCAGGCTAGAGTGAGTGCCGTGGCATCAGCCTAGCTCACAGCAACCTCAAACTCCTGGGCTCAAGCAATCCTGCTGCCTCAGCCTCCCGAGTAGCTGGGACTACAGGCATGTGCCACCATGCCCAGCTAATTTTTTCTATATATATTAGTTGGCCAATTAATTTATTTCTATTTGTAGTAGAGACGCGGTCTCGCTCCTGCTCAGGCTGGTCTTGAACTCCAGACCTCGAGCAATCTGTCCGCCTTGGCCTCCCAGAGTGCTCGGATTACAGGCGTGAGCCACCACGCCTGGGCAAGTTCAGCTAATCTTTATAAGGGTCCTCCTAGCCTGCTGTCACCCCCATTTCAAAGAGGAAAGCATCTGTAACCTGCTTAGCAGAGAGGCACAGGATCAATACGGACTTAGCCAACAGTTGCTATCATTATTTATATTTACAGTAAAAGCAGCAGATGCCCAGGGTAGAAATTTCAAACATGACAGAGGGGTCCAAAATGAAAAAGAAAAACAGAAATTCTCTTCCCTCAAAACTTCCCCTTCCCTTCCAGTTTCCCCCCCCCCCCCCAGAAGAAATCAGCCTTTGGTTTCTTATGTGCCCTTCCAGAATATCTATGACTGTGTAAACCTAATTACTCTAAAACGGTGATTCGCAGACTGTGGTGGGCACGCAGCTGCCTGGAGACCTGGTTAAGATGCAGATGCAGATTCAGTGGACCTTGGTCGGGGCCTGAGACTCTGCATTTCTGACAAGCTCCAAGGGAATGCTGGGCCTCTGGTTCAGGACCACGCTTAGGTGTTTGAGTAGCAAAGACGTAGGTCACAGGACCATATTATAGCACGTTTAATAATGAGCCTTAACAATCATTCCTGGTTGTCTCTTACAGATTAACGTGTATGTGTGTGTGTGTGTGTGTGTGTGTGTGTGTATGTGTTTATGGTGGTAACATATACATGACATAAAATTTACCATTTTGACAATTTTAAGTCAAAATGACATAAAGTACATTCACAATGTTGCACAACCATCACTACCATCTATTTCCAGAATTTTTTCAAATTCCCCAGCTGTACCCACTAAATGCTAACTCCCTATTCTTCCCTTCCTCCAGCCCCTGGTAACCACTATTCTACTTTCTGTCTCTGTGAATTTGACTATTCTAGGTCCCCTCCTATAGCTGGAATCATACAATATCTGTCCTTTTGTGGCTTATTTCACTCAACATAATGTCATCGAGATTCATCCATGTTGTAGCATGTATCAGAATTTTCTTCCTTTTTTTTTTGTTTTTTGAGACAGAGTCTCATTCTGTTGCCTAGGCTTGAGTGACATGGCTTCAGCCTAGCTCACAGCAACCTCAAACTCCTGGGCTCAAGCAATCCTCCCTCCTCACCCTTCCAAGTAGCTGGGACCACAGGTGTGTGCCACCACACCTGACTAATTTTTCTATCTGTAGTAGAGACGGGCTCTCGCTCTTGCTCAGGCTGGTCTCAAACTCCTGACCTCACACCATCGAGCCGCCTCAGCATCCCAGAGTGCTAGGATTACAGGCCTAGCACTCTGAGCCACAGCGCCTGGCCTTCTTTTTCTTTGTTTCTTTTTTTTTTTTTTTTTTGAGACAGAGTCTCGCTTTGTTGCCCAGGCTAGAGTGAGTGCCATGGCGTCAGCCTAGCTCACAGCAACCTCAAACTCCTGGGCTCAAGCGATCCTGCTGCCTCAGCCTCCCGAGTAGCTGGGACTACAGGCATGAGCCACCATGCCTGGCTAATTTTTTCTATATATATTAGTTGGCCAATTAATTTCTTTCTATTTATAGTAGAGACGGGGTCTCGCTCTTGCTCAGGCTGGTTTCAAACTCCTGACCTCGAGCAATCCGCCCGCCTCGGCCTCCCAGAGAGCTAGGATTACAGGCGTGAGCCACCGCGCCCGGCCTGTTTCTTTTTAAAGAAGCTATCTGTGCATTAAAAACAAAAAAACCCAGAAGATGGGAAAAAGGAAATACCCCAAAATGTGAACAGCGGCTACCACTGGAGTTGGATGGTGGTGATGGCTGCATGACAGTGTGACCTACTCATTCCCATTTCCAGCCAAGACGAGAGCTTGCCAGCTCAGGTTCTCTAAGCCCGGCCTTGCCAAGGAGTGGAGTTTCAGGTGTTTGCAAAATTGCTATGATTTCATCTGTCTTTTCTCTTCTAGAACTTCACAGCAGCACATATGTCCTCTGTGCTGCTGAAGTCCAAAGAGTTACCCTTTCTATACCGGAGCGTGAGTTAGTCTTTGGTGAAACACACGGGATAATGCAATAGTTAGCAATAATAGCAACATTTTGTACTGAGATATTCCTCTTTCTTTTTTTTTTTAACCTTTTAAAAACATTGAGCAAATTTGTCCCCCAGTTGATCATAAATCCCCTCTGCTAGTCATGCCCAATAACACCCCCAGGCTTTTTTCAAAGCCCTGGTGGAAATGACTTACACATTCAGCATTGCTCTCCCGTTGGTGGGTAGAACACACCTGTCCTGTTGGTACCATACCCCAAAAACCCACCGTAGGGCTGGAAAACAGCAGTTTCACCTTGGGGAGTGAGGAATTTGGAAGGAGACAGGAAATTTGCCCCTGAGTCTCAGAGGAAGAAATTGCTGCTCAGAGAAACTAAGGCTTCTCCCAGAGTAACAAGAAGCAGTATGGCTGGAAGGACCACATTGCATGAGAGTGGGCTCCATGGGGTCCCAAACTCAAATGCCTACAGGACCAGACAAATGGGGCGAAGTGCCAAGTGGGGGGAACACAGAGCAAGTGTAAGGATAAGTAGCACAAGGGCCTAAGGCTGGAGATGATTTGGAGAAGAAGAGACGGTGGTCAACTGTGGAGTGTATAACCCACTTAAAAGGGACACCATTGTTCAGATCTAAGCACAATCCCCATGCAGGGGTATGGACCCTAGTTGGCCAGATAGTCTACTTTTTCAAGAGACATTGGGATTCCGGCTTTTTATATGAATTTTTCCAATTTTAAAATTTTGACATCCACTTTAAATTTTTTTTTTAAAAAAAATATGTATGGGCAAATGTTTGTGGGCCTAATGTGATCTTTAGGTGACCAACTTGTTAATGAGTCTAAATTCTGAAACAATGTACTTCCAAACACTATTTAGGTCTAGAACAGAGATATCCTCATTCACATAATCTATCATGTGAATAGGGCACCCTGGAATTGTGTAGTGCCCAACCTGCCCAACTGTACATGGCAGTCCTGATATATAATTCCTTAAGTTGTCATTTCCCCTTTCCCAGCCCCAGTCCAACTCAACAGAAATGCCAACCCCCATCCATCAAGCCCCCAAACCATGAAAAAAGTCTTTCACCTGTCTTAGGTGCTAGAGATGTGCGGCAAGGCCATGGAGGGGAAGTTCCACCCATCTTGACCAGATTTGCTCTGTCTCTAGGGTGGTGAAATTCCGTCGCACAGGCGAGAGTGCAAGATCAGAGGACGACACGGCTTCAGGAGAGCATGAGGTCCAGATTGAAGGCGTCCGCACGGGCCTAGAGGCCGTTGAACTGGACGATGGGGCAGCCGTGCCCAAGGAATTTGCCAATCCCACTGACGGTGAGAGGGCCCTGCAATTGGGGCATCAGCCCAGGACACAGTCGGGGGCTCTGAGGCTCCAAGGTTGCCTCCCCAGTGGGTGAGCTCAGAGGGCTCTTGTGAAGGGGCAGTCGCCAGGGCCTGGAGGGCCTGGAGGGCCCAGGGTGCCAGTGCAGGTGTCAGAAGGGCTTACCTGGCTTGCTTCAGCAGGCAAGACTACATCACAATCCCTGCCAGTGAGCGTCATCGCTTAACACTTGGCCGAGGATGGCAGCGACAATCGTGACGATGATGATGATGACAAGGGTGATGATGATGATGACAGTGGTGGTGGTGATGATGATGGTGATGGTGATGATGATAATGGTGATGATGGTGATGGTGATGATGGCAGTAATGATGATGGTGGCGATGATGGTGATGATGAGGGTGGTGATGATGATAGTGATGATGACGGTGATGGTGATGATGGTGACGGTGATGATGGTGGTGATAGTGATGGTGATGATGGTGATGATGATGTGATGATGATGGTGATGATGATGATGGTCATGATGGTGGTGATGATGATAGTGATGATGATGATAGTGATGGTGGTGATGATGATAGTGATGATGATGATGGTGATGGTGATGATGGTGTTGATGATGATGGTGATGGTGATGATGGTGATGATGATGTGATGATGATGGTGATGATGATGATGGTGATGATGGTGGTGATGATGATAGTGATGATGATGATAGTGATGGTGATGATGGTGTTGATGATGATGGTGATGGTGATGATGATGATAGTGATGATGATGGTGATGATGGTGATGGTGATGATGATGGTGGTGATGATGGTGGTGATGATGATAGTGATGATGATGATAGTGATGGTGATGATGGTGTTGATGATGATGGTGATGGTGATGATGATGATAGTGATGATGATGGTGATGATGGTGATGGTGATGATGATGGTGGTGATGATGGTGATGTGATGGTGATGATGGTAATTATGATGGTGATGGTGATGGTGATGGTGATGATGGTGATGATGGTGATGGTGATGATGGTGGTAATGATGATGGTGATGATGGTGATGATGGTGATGATGGTGATGATGGCTGTGATGATGATGGTGATGATATGATGATGTTGGTTATGACGATAGTGTTGATGGTGATGACGACAGTGACAGTAGTACGGGAGCAGCTAACATTGGCTGAGGATTTACTCTGTGCCAGGCACTGTTGTCAGCACTTTACATGTTTTACCCATTTAATTCTCACGATATCTCCAATTGGATCTATTATCATCATCTGTTCCACTTTGCAGTTGAGGAAACTGAAGCAGAGAAGGGTTAAGTATCTTGCCTGGGGTTAGGAATTAGCCATGCTGGATTTAAATCCAGGCAATCTGGCCTCAGAGTCCACATTCTTACCCGTGACCTTGTGCTGCCTCTGAGTAGGGCTGGTCAAATCAGGGAGAGACTGGAGGTGGTGCTGTGGGACCTGGTCTCTGCCTTTTCTCACTACCTGATGCTGATGGATGAAAAGATAGATGCATTCCTGAAAGGTCCCCGACTCCCAGTACAAAAGATGGCTTGAACCCAAAGCCTGTTGTTGGCAGATCTACAGAGGCAATGACTCGGTGGCAGGGGGGAGACAGTGGTTGGGGGGAGGCTTTACCCTCAGGCTGATCTGGACTCAACTCCCAGCTCTACGAAGTGCCAGGTATAAGCACAGCGAGCGGCCATGTCTTCCTCTGTAAAACGGGGCTAATGCTAGTTCCTAACTGATAGGGTTGTGATGGGGATTAAATGAAATCATGCACGTCCAGCTCTTAGCACAGTGCCTGGCACATAGTGAGCACTCAATCACTGTCCATAATACTGTTATGACTGTTGTTATTGTTTTATTATTTTTATTTATTTATTTATTTTTGAGATAGAGTCTCAATCTGTTGCCCGGGCTAGAGTGCAATGGCGTCAGCCTAGCTCACAGCAACCGCCAACTCCTGGGCTCAAGCGATCCTCCTGCCTCAGCCTCCGGAGTAGCTGGGACTACAGGCATGCACCACCATGCCCGGCTAATTTTTTCTATATATATTTGTGGTTGTCCAGCTAATTTCTTTCTATTTTTAGTAGAGACAGGGTCTCGCTCTTGCTCAGGCTGGTCTCGAACTCTCAAGCTATCCTCCCACCTCGGCCTCCTTGAGTGCTAGGATTATAGGTGTGAGCCACTGTGCCCGGCCCCATCTTCTGCTTTAAAAAATTAATTAACAATATATTATGTGCATCTTTCCATATCTGCACATTCTTTTAAACAGTTGAGTCATATTACTTAGTGTGATATTTAATAATTTTAATGTATTATATATATATATATATATCATAGTTTATTTAACCAACCTCCTGTTGGTAGACATTTGGGGTTTTCCAGTCTTCCCTGTTGTAGACAATGTCACAATGGCAAGATATCTTCACACTGGAACCTTTTTCTAGGATAAACTGCAGCACAGTAGCGTGTACTGCCTGGGGACCGCCGCAGACACCCTCAGGTTAGGATAGCTCCAGTGTGCACTGATTCCTTCCTTCCCCTCCTTTCTTCTTCTTCCCAGATACTTTCATGGTGGAAGATGCGGTGGAAGCCATTGGGTTTGGAAAATTTCAGTGGAAGCTGTCTGTTCTCACTGGCTTGGCTTGGGCAAGTATTTTGGGGGGACAGTGGCCTTATATGTAGTCCCCAAGAAACCTCCATGCTGCTTCATTGGGTTTCTGTGGTCTACAAAGAAGAACACAATTTCTTCCACACGGACCCTCTGTTTGAATTGCAATCGACAAAATGTGTGTGGAGTGATGATCGAGCAGGTCTGTGCTTGGAGGGAGTTGGGTACGGTTGGTGATTTGCCCTTAAGGAGGAGCTGAAGCTTCTAGCTAATTCAGTGGTTCTCAACCCTTTGGGCTCAGGGTTACTGTGAGATTATGATGTCAGCTGCGGAGATCTCCCTAGAAAAACATGCGCAGATTAAAAATCTACCTCCTGCTTCAAGGTACTCACAGTCTCTCGTTAGAATCCTCTTGAGTAGCTACGGCAAACAGAACAGCTAAAGCTTAAATATAGCTGAAACTGATTTTTGCGAGTGGTGTGAGACAGCGATCTGACGACACATTATTCCAAATGGGTCGTCAATTTCCCCACCTCGTATTCCCCGGCTAGTTTGAAAATGCCGCGTCTATCACACGCCACATCCCACGGCCACACAGCTCTGCTTCTGGACTCTCGGCTCCGTCCTGTCCTTCCGTGTGTCTCGTCCCGTAAAGGTGCCACGATGTCTCACTGCTGGGACCTCCTACTATGTTTTCATTGATTAAAAGGTCACGCTTGTTAAAATACTGACAATTCCACATGAACAAAGATGCTACAAAGCAAAGACAAACTAGTCTTTCATGGCACTAAAGAGAAAAGATCGTTGACTCTCTACTGCTATAAAAAATGTTTTTTTCTTAGATTTTAGAAATACCGTGTTTTCCCGCCTCATTTAGGGAGTGCCCATATTTTTTAAAAACACACATGCACAAAGCATGTAACATGTCTATTTGTCAATTCCTGCGGGGTCACACGTGGTTTTGGCTACTAGAGCTTGGAGTATGTTTTGATGTGTGGTAGGGCACTCGGCAGGTGGTAGAAGAGGGGTGTGCTACCCTCTGTCTCTCCAGGGTCATGGGCTTGGCCGGCCACCCCCGGCACTGGGCAGGTGGCATCCTGGCCTCACGGTGTGTCCTTCCTGTCTGCAGATGGCCGATGCCATGGAGATGATGATCCTGAGCATCCTGGCGCCGCAGCTGCACTGCGAGTGGTGGCTCCCCAGCTGGCAGGTGGCATTGCTGACCTCGGTAGGCAGCCCGGCGGCTCTGTCCTGTTGCATACCATCCTGGTCCCCTGGAGTGTCCCGCGGGATGTCTCCCTTTCTCCTGCTGCCCCGGGGCTCAGCAGAAAAGAATTAAGCCCTTGATGGAAACACTGTGTCCCTAACTTCCATCATTCCCCTCCCACCTCACATGGTTTGCAGCCAACTCTACCCCAGCCAGGGGTCCAACTACTTGGCAGGTGGCAGGGGGTTGGGGGGGGGGAGTCTCAGACTTCCTGTTCAATTGCTGGGAACTTGAAACCCACCTGCACACGTGACTTAAACCTTATAAGCCTCACTTTTCTTGACTGCAAACAGGAGATGCAGGGTGATTCGAGGATTGGAGACAACACAGTGCCTGACATATAGTAGGTGCTCAATAAACAGGTAGCTGTTGCTTCCTGGAATTAAGGCTTGAAGGAGATTGCAGCAGAATCCTCAAATTTTGTCAGGGGAAGAGCAGCAGCAACCTTCTAAATGACAGAGGAGAATGGCCAGTCCAGACAAGAGGATAATAATAATGATAATCACCAAAGCTAATATTTATTAAGCACATACTGGTACGTGCATAGGCCTTTATGTACATGGTATGTAATATATGCATAATATACATTGCACTCTTTAATCTTTGCAACCCCATGAGCTAGGTACTTAAGCACCCCCCTCAGCTGTCTGAATACACCCTCTCTTGAGTAAGGGGACCCCAGAAATACCCTAAAGCTGAGTTGGTGGCCATGACAGGGGAGGTCAGACGGGCCTCATCATACTCCCTCCCTTCTTGGAGACATCCTTTGTAACTCGTCACCTGGCCTTCTGAGGCTATGCAAGACACATCTTAAACCACACCTGCAAGCTGTCAATTTACTTAACAGATCGCTTGAGTCTGGGTATATGTCTGGCACCTTGTCTCTAATTAACAGATTTCCTTAACTTAAAACATTCCAAATCCTTAGACAAAGCTTCATGCCTTTAACCAATTCAAAGAATCTTTGAACGCACGTATAACCTGTAATGCCCCACTTCGAGATGGGCTGCCTTTTGGGGCCAAACCAAAGTACACCTTCCCTGTATTGATTTATGACTTTATGTGTCATTCCTTTCTCCCTGGAGAGTACAAAGCCAAACTGTAACTCAGCCATGGTGAGACCACTTGCTCAAGGCCTCTTGGGCATGGCTCTCTGGGCCACGGTCACACATACTCAGCTCAGAATAAACCTCTTTAAATTATTTCACAGAGGCCGGGCGCGGTGGCTCATGCCTGTAATCTTAGCACTCTGGGAGGCTGAGGCAGGAGGATCGTTTGAGCTCAGGAGTTCAAGACCAGCCTGAGCAAGATCGAGACGCCATCTCTACCAAAAATAGAAATAAATTAGCTGGACAACTAAAAATATATATAGAAAAAATTAGCTGGGCATAGTCCCAGCTACTCAGGAGGCTGAGGCAGGAGGCTGGCTTGAGCCCAGGAATTGGAGGTTGCTGTGAGCTAGGCTGACACCACGACACTCCAGCCTGGACAACAGAGTGAGATGCTGTCTCAAAAAAAAAAAAATTATTTCACAGAATTTGGGTTCTTTTCTGTTGACATATTATTAGTGGAGGAAAATGAGGCACAGACAAATTAGATCACTTGCTCAAGGTCACAAATGTATCTAGTGGCAGAGAAATTGCCAACAAGGGATGCCTCCCAGAATGCTGGGGTTTTAAATAGATAACCGTTCTAAAATGGCCCGCGTGCCTTCCATGGCAGGGTCCGGTCTGATATTATCAACAAAGTCACGCAGCTCAGTGGGAGGGACTTCCTAGCACGTACACACCCGTGTTTTTGTGGTTTCGTCACCTCCTAGAAGCGTGACCTTGAGTGTAGCTCTTTATGACTCTATTTTATGCCCTGCCAAGTGGAGATAGAATCCCTGTTTTTCTGCGATTGGGCAATAGAATACATAGAGTGCCTCGTGCAGGACCGGGCTGAGAATTACATTCCCCATTCTCGTTCATATCTCCTAGACTGTCACTGTGGGTCTGTGTTTTTGCAATGCAGGGCCTTTCTGGTCTCTTCTCATTGGTTCATAACAATCACAATTTATTGAGTACTTAGTATATGCCGTCTGTGCTAAGAGTTTTGTATATGATCCCTCTTTAACTCTCAACGCTATGAAGAGGTGCTATTATTACTCCCATTTCTACAGATAAGGAATCTAAGGTTGACAGAGGTGCAGTGATTTGCACCCAACCTGGCACGGCCTGTAAGAAACAGGGTCAGAAGTGAAATCCAGGCCTGGCAGGCCCAGAGCCCCTGCTCCCAGCCACTGCCCCGGGCTACTTCCTTGTGGTGTGGACTTTGGACTTATGGGCTAGGTAGAGCCACTTGTGGGCTAGGGCCAAGTTTTCTGGTGGAATGCTGGAGAACAGCAGACGTTGCTCTATCTGTATCAAGTACTCAAGGAGAATACAGCAGGCGCATCATTGTTGCCACGGGAAATACCATGTGAGATTACCGTAATTACTGTGATATAGAACAAGTGCTCTGCTATGCCCGAATCTTTCCCATGGGGGAAAACAGGTATTTTCGGGGATACTTAACTCTTTCAGGATGCAAGGATACCACTGAGCGCATGACTAAAGGCAACGCTTTACCCCGAGATAGTAATCGTCAAACATTTTTGTTCTAGGTTAATCTAGAAAAGAATTGAGTACAACCTATATAGCATCTGGACCTCATGTGTTTTTTAATTGACCTAAAATATTTTAAAAATCATAGGCTGCAGAATACATCATTTCCAGTGTATTGAAGTATAAAAACTTAAGCAAAATTATCATATCACTTTTTTATTTATTTTTTTTTTTTTGAGACAGAGTCTCGCTTTGTTGCCCAGGCTAGAGTGAGTGCCATGGCGTCAGCCTAGCTCACAGCAACCTCAAACTCCTGGGCTCCAGCGATCCTTCTGCCTCAGCCTCCCGAGTAGCTGGGACTACAGGCATGCGCCACCATGCCCAGCTAATTTTTTACATATATATATCAGTTGGCCAATTAATTTCTTTCTATTTATAGTAGAGACGGGGTCTCGCTCTTGCTCAGGCTGGTTTTGAACTCCTGACCTTGAGCAATCCGCCCGCCTCGGCCTCCCAAGAGCTAGGATTACAGGCGTGAGCCACCGCGCCCGGCCTCATATCACTTTTTTAAAATGTGTCCAATAACATTGAAACACTTACCTGATACCCAACATCATCCATTTAAAAATGACATGAATATAAGCGCTTCAGAAGAATTTGGAAATTTTGCATTGTCTTATTTTATTGGAAATGGTATTTCTATTCCATTTCTCTGTATAATTTTATCTTTTTTTTTTTTTTTTTTTTGAGACGGAGTCTCACTTTGTTGCCTGGGCTATAGTGAGTGTTGTGGTGTCAGCCTAGCTCACAGCAACCTCAAACTCCTGGGCTCAAGCAATCCTCCTGCCTCAGCCTCCCGAGTAGCTGGGACTACAGGCATGCGCCACCATGCCCAGCTAATTTTTTTCTAGATATTTTTAGTTGGTCAATTAATTTCTTTCTATTTTTAGTAGAGAAGGGGTCTCGCTCTTGCTCAGGCTGGTTTCAAACTCCTGACTTTGAATGACCCTCCCACCTCGGCCTCCCAGAGTGCTAGGATTACAAGCGTGAGCTACCGTGCCTGGCCCGTATAATTTTATCTTTTTTTTTTTAATATTCTAATATCTTCTACTCATTTTTTTTTTATCCTGGGTTAAGAGCATCCGTCTAGGTAAATTTTATCTTAATGTAATGTTTTCTTACGCTTGAAAGTATCGCATTCATTGCCCTATCCTAATTCTCTGTGACAGATCATATAAGTTTTAAATTATTGTTTTTAATTTTCTGAGATGAGAAGGCTCTAAGTGCTAAAATTTTTCTCCTGCACTGAGTTATTATAATTATGTTATAATTATAATTTTATTCTATTATAATAATGTAATTATTAATATTTATTATGTATAGTTATTGTTATAATTTATCAGTAGTAGTAGTACACAATAGACCAAAACAAGATTTAATTAATTTTGATAAGTCATTATTAAACATAAGTAAATTTTTATTGGGAATGTACCCCTTAATGAGTGGTATGGAATGTTTCCCAAATATTTTGCTTATTCCTGAATGATTACTTATTACTAAAGTAAGACAAGGTTCAACACCAATTCTATTCCTGTGTGTCATTTTTACTGAATGGATATGAATATGAAAAGCTTTGTTCAAATCAGAAAAGTTTTGAGAAACTGAAGGAGATTTGTTATAACAGTAAATTAATCCCACTTTATTTATTTATTTAGAGACAGGATCTCACTCTGTTGCCTGCGGTAGAGTGCAGTGGCCTCATCACAGTTCATTGCAACCTCAAACTCCTGGGCTCAAGTGATCCTCCTGCCTTAGCCTCCCCAAGTAGCTGAGACTATAGGCGTGGGATACCACGTCTGGCTAATTTTTCTGTTTAGTAGAGATGCGGTCTCGCTCTTACTCAGGCTGGTCTCAAACTCTTGGCCTCAAGTGATCCTCCTGCCTCAGTCTCCCAGAGTGCTAGGATTATAGGCATGAGCCACCGCGCCCAGCTTGATTTTTAAAAATAGTTTCCAAGTTATATATGCCAAAGAGCCCTCAGCTATTGCTTATGGAAAATTAGTTTTAGTGATCTAATTTGCTGACAGCTTGATTAGGTTCTCCTTCAATTCTGTTGAAAAGCATAATAAAAAAAATTAATAATAATATTGGAAACTAGATGACGTGCAAAAGGATTTATGTGTCATTGGGGTCCCTTTTGAGGCACCCTGGAGAAAGGCAATGTGCTTCGAGGTGCCTTGTTGTAGTGAGAGATGGGGAAGGGAACAGGGAAGACCCGTAACTTGTCCTCAGGAAAGGGATTGTAGGGACATCAAGGACTTGGAAACTAATTCCTTTAAAACAATCCATGTCTGCTTCTTCCTTGGAACACCTCTGTGTATCTCCTATAAGCAGCCCGCTGCCCTAGGACATGCCAGGAGGAATGCTTTTGGGGTCAGACAAAACCGAGGCCATTCCTTCCTCTCTCTGGGCCTCAGTTGCCTTATCTGTAAAATGGGTCTAATGACAGCACCGTGTTGTAGGTAAGATGTTGTGTATTAAGCATTTAGCGCGTGGCATCTGGCACCTGGTAAGGAACGAGCACGGTGTCAAGGCTGCCATTAGCCTGCCTGGGTTTAAGATTTGGCTCTGCCCTCTCCTTTCAGGGATACTGAGTCAGCTTCTTAACCTTTCTGAGCCTCAGCGCCCCCCATGTTCAATGGGTACGATGGTTCAAACCCCATCTGCTGGGAATGTGAGAATTAACAATGTAACGACGACTTGGCCGGGCGCACAGGCAGCGCTCAGCTCCCATTCCAGCCTCCTGTCTGCCTGCTTTGCACACCCTCCAAACTCTTACCTTGCAGCCCTTGATATCCCTTAGCAATGGGGCGAGTCATTTCTTTGGTACGGTGGGAGACTGGTAAAAAGGCGCTCCATGAATGTTGGCCCAGCATTATCATTTAGGGTGCGACGTCACGGGTTCGGTTTGTCGTGTCCCTTCTCTGCGATGCTCCGTGCCTCTGTGTAACGGAAACCGTCCTTCCACCCACAGGTGGTCTTCATCGGCATGATGTCCAGCTCCACGCTCTGGGGAAACATTTCAGACCAGTACGGCAGGAAAACAGTAAGGCAGCCTCTTGCGAGCGTGTGTCCCCTGGGTCTGTCTGTGACGTGAACCTGGCAGCAGTGTGCATCACAGAGCCAATGAGGAGCTCTGTTCTAGTGCAGTGAGAAGACACTGTGCAAAGCCTGCCGTGGGCTCTTTTCAAATCACACGTTACTAGCGGGGCCCGAGCGCGTATATTTCAGAATCTGGGTGATGCTCCTGGTGCCTGTTCGTTTCCCTTAGACGTTAACCATTTCCTTACTGCCCAAGTTCAAATGCCGGCTCTTCCGCCTACAGACTACATGACCGTGTGCAAGCTCCCCAGCCTCCCTGTGCCTCAGTTTTCTCATCTGTCAATGGGATGACAATAGTCTCTCCCATAAAACTGCTAGGAGGAGTAAAATGGCCCTCATACACAAAGCTGCTGGCACAGGGGAAGAGTCTCATAAATCTCCATTATTATTTGTGTCCTTTGCCAAGCCGTGGTGCCCATAAATGGCAATGCCAGCACAGAGATGCAAGCACGTCTGGCTCTAGAGTCCACATCCTCAACCTGAGAGACATAACTGAATCATCGCCTAGAATTCAGTAGGTCAGTTGGACGTTCATCCATCCCAATCAGAAGTGGCTTGGAGGGGCTTCACATATAGCATCCCATCAGTTCTTCCAACCAGCTTGGTAAATGTCACACCCAGCGTGAAACTGGCATGACCAGAGGGACAGGAGAGAAAGCGTCCCCAGATCACAGAGCTTCCTCCTCCCCAGCATGCAATTCCGGCCCATCCTCAGCGCGATGGATCAGACTGTAATTATAAAGTTTCCCCAGAACTCCTGCAGCAACACTGGCAAGCCTTAGTGACCGCAGAGAACCACCATGATCTGTGTTGTCGCAGAGGTTTCCGTGAGGGTGTCCGCCACGTGATTTTGCAGGGCAATCCCATACGGAGACAGGATTCTGTGAGCTACTTTGATTCCTCACAGAAGCCTGTGAGTTTGTGGCAGCCACAGATTTGCAAAGTAGAAATGAAAGTAACAACCTCTTTCTGTAGCGTTGCCATGAGGACCCAGTGCAGTGATGTGACAGTCAGGTATAAAATGCAAATTAAAGTTCCATGAAGTCAGAGACTCTGGCTGTCATGTTCCCTACTGTACCTCAGTGCCTTGCAAATAGCAGGTGCTCAATATATACAAATTGCATGGACGAATGGATAAATGAATAATATATATCAGTACGTCTACTGCCAGGCACACAGCAAGTGCTTAATACATACATATTGAACAAATGAATGAATTAATAGTACATATCGGGACCTCTAGTGCTGGGTACACAGCAGGTATTCAACATATGTTTATTGATTAAATGAATGAATGAATGAATATCGTATATCAGTGTTTGGCATACGGCAGATGCTCAAAACATGCTTATCGAATGAATAATTGAATGAGCAAACGAATGGATGTGTAATGTCTATACACCGGTCCCTGGAGCCTGGCACACAGGGGATTTGCAATAAATAAAGGAAGAAAGGAAGGGAGGGAGGAATGAGGGAAGGAAAGAAGGGAAGAAGGAAGGAAGGAAGGAAGGAAGGAAGGAAGGAAGGAAGGAAGGAAGGAAGGAAGGAAGGAAGGAAGGAAGGAAGGATGGATGCATGGACGTGTGTATAGATGGAAGGATGGGTGGATTATAGTCATTGACCAATGGATCATTAAGATATGACTGCAATAAAGACATTCATTTCTACACGAGCAATTCAACTCCATCCCAAGGAGGAATTTTTAAGAATAAATAAAAAACAGAAACACATCCTCTTACTCATTGGATAGTCATTGGGAGGATCTTTAAACCTAATGGGAAATGGGGATTGTTTCTGCAGTTCCGCCCAGCCCCAGGCAGGAGGCTTCCTTCCTCCCTGAGAGCCTGTGCACCTGTGTCCTCTCTCCTGCCAGGATCATTCCTATTTTTCTTATCCATCGGCCTGAGAACAACATCCCTTATGCAACAGTGGAGGAGGAGCTGATTGGAGAATTTGTGAAGTATTCCATCCGGGATGGGAAGGAAATAAACTTCTTGAGGAGAGAATCAGAAGCTGGTCAGAAATGTTGTACCTTCCAGCACTGGGTCTACCAGAAGACGAGTGGCTGCCTCCTGGTCACCGACATGCAGGGTGAGGAGCTTGACCTGGGCTCCAGGGAGGAAGAAAGGAAAGAAGGAACAGGATGGAAGGGAAGGAAGAAGGAAGAAGGAAGAAAGAAGGAAGGAAGGAAGAAGGAAGGAAGAAGAAGGAAGGGAAGAGAAGGAAGGAAGGAAGGAAGGGAAGAGAAGGAAGGAAGGAAGAAGGAAGGAAGGAAGGAAGGAAGAAGGAAGGAAGAAGGAAGGAAGGAAGGAAGGAAGGAGAAACTGTCGCTCTATAGGGCAGAACAGATGTTAGGCAAACAACAACTGAAGTGTATCGAGAAGCTGCAGAGAGGTCCATGAGCACATTTCTGCGGAGTCCCAGAGAAGCTCTGGGGTGGGGGCATGCTGGCAGCACCCCTGCCTTTGTGAATGGCCAATGGAGAATGACTTATCGCATGTTGCTAGAGTCCTTCTATATTTGGCTAGCTGTAAGCCCTGTATCGCAGTACAATAAGCAACCGTTCTGTCCACATTGGTTTTTTCAGGTCCGAGGTCTAGCTGGCCTGTTCTTTGCTGCTGGCAACGAAAATGCTGCGCCTTCAGTCATGTGCTGGAGGGAAGGGTAGCCCCAGGCATCTTGGGTCTCAGAGCCTCTTCATTTCCTGTTCCTCTTCTGCTGTGTTTGATATTTTTTTCTTCTTCCCTTTTATTTACCATTTTTCTTTATCATTACTGCTTTTGCGTATCACTATCTTCGTGTTTGATTCAAGACTGCTTGAATGCCATAGGATAGAAAATAATCTCTTACTATAAATTGCTTTAAGTTAGCATTGAGAAAGGAATATTAAGCGTATTCTGCATGGCATGGTTTTACTCCAATCTAGTCATGGGTTAAGTGGATCACGCAAAATGCCGCTTTTTTATTATGGCTTCCTAGGCCTTCAGCATTGCTACTCCAAACCTATATTTCTCTCTTATGGTGATCTTTAATAATCTTCTGTATATTTAATTTCCGTTTTAAAATATATACTTAAAGCATTTTTCCTTGGATAAAGGATAACTTTAATATGAGTTACATTATATGTAAATCAGCAAAGATTCCCTCTAATTGTAGTGATAATGTCTGCAAATAATACGTAATTAATGGTCAAATGAAACAGAATAAATTATTTTAATTATTCTAGCTGGCTATGGTTGTGCCAACTACCTTCTCTGTTAATAAAGAGAGAAGGCTTGGGCCGCGGTGGCTCACGCTGTAACTTCTATGCTCTCGTGGGAGGCCGAACAGGCGATGTCAAGTCAGGATTCGAAACAGCCTGAGCGAGCGAGACCGTGTCTCTACTATAAAGTACGAAAGGAAATTTATATTGGCCAACTAATATAGCTATATTTAGATAAAGTTTAGCCGGTGCAATGTGTGGCGCATGCTGTAGGTCTCTCTAGCTACTGGAGGATCTGAGCAGGAGATTCTGCGTAGTTCCCAGTGAGTGTTGAGGTTGCTGCTGTAGCTAGGCTGATGCACGGCACTCACTCTACACTGGAACAAGTGAACTTGTCTGTCTCAAAAAAAAAAAAAAAACTTAGAGAGATGAGTAGTGCTTCTTTTTTTATTTTTCTTTTTTCTTTTTTTATTGAGACAGAGTCTCGCTTTGTTGCTCAGGCTAGAGTCGAGTGCCCGTGGCGTCAGCCTACCGCCACAGCACACTCAAACTCTGGGGCTCAAGCAGCCATCCTGCTGGCCTCT